CTAAGCTACTATACCAACATATCATGACCAACATGCAGTTGCACAATGTTCAAAAATTTCTCTCTGCGAATGAACTATCAATGGAGAACTCTAGATTGTTCTTTTTAACGTCAGTACTACTACTATATTGGTATTCCACTTTAGTATTTTTCTTCAATAAATATCCCAGAAAGTAATAAGAAAATACATAATTAAGAGGTGATTTTGTAATCTCATAGAAAGTAAGTGGATGTAAACTATTACCTTTGCTATCTTCCTCACTTAGCATGTTTCTGTCGTATTTCTCTCTTTCACCTCTTTCTTCCCTATCTAGGAACTTTCTTTGTCTCTCTAAATGGATTAAAGGCTCTTAATGACCATTACTAACATATTTGGTTCAACCTCCATTTTAATTTTTTTCTACCAAAATTGAGTGTTTAATGATCCAAATAGCTTCTATAATATTATTTATTGGCTTCTCAAAAAGGAATTTCCTTTTCTATTTCCCATTCCATGATTTTATCTATTACTTTTGGCAAGAATGAGAATGTTTGGTTAAAAGTCAGTCTAAGAAGGTGGTGCACGTGTACAGTGAGTTTCGTCTTCTTACTAGTGTGTAGCTCTTCTTTGAAGGTCACATTTTTGTAGTTCTTCAAATGGACAAGTATAGTTAGTAATGGTTCATGTTATTTAGATGCAGCTCAATGTGACCTTGGATACATGAAGTATCCTTGCCAATTCATTGGAAATCACAAGTTATGCTATATGTATTTTTTTATCGTAAATATTACAGCTTTTATAACTACTATAACTTGCAATGTGATCTGATGATGGTAATGTATAGGAATCAATCCTGTTACAACTGTAAGGGAAACTGCTCTGTTATGCAGGAGTTCACATAGTCAGGGTAAGTGTTTTTCTATCAGTTTACATCTTATATTGTTTATCTTTTTGGCTAGAAATCTTGACTATTGATAACTTGAAATCCTCAGAATTGTAACATGTGAGGTGCATTTGCCTAATAGATGGTTCAGATGATGGTTCAGATGCTGAGTATGAGCCCAATAATAGTAGTGATGATGATGAGGTGATGACTAGTTTTGAAGACTTTTTGAATATGATACAGTTTGGATGGTTTTTAACTTTTTGGATAATTTAGAATTTAAGGATAGTTCTTTTGGATGGTTTTGAACGTCGGTTAATTTTTAAATGTTTGAATGTATTGACAATTTTGAATGTTCATAATTTATGGATGTAGTTTATTTTTTATGTTTGAAATAATATTTTAGTAGCTGATTGATATTTTGTGAAACTGTTTGTAATGTTTGTTAGATTATACAAAATAAGTCAAATAGAACTTGCTGAATTAGAAAAAAAAAAAATCAATATTCTACGGCAAGCAAATTAGGCCATTAGATGAACATATTCCCACCATTCTACGAACGCCGTGGTATGTTCTACTTATCTACGGTAGGTGAGCAATCATTGTATTACATATTCTACGGCACGCAATCAACGTTGTTATTTTTCTCACGAATTACGGCGTGCAAAAGTAGTCGTAGAAAAAGTAAAAAACGACGTGCAAGATCTGCTGTTAAATAGTTTTTAACAACGTACTATGACATGCCGTTGAAAGTAAATGACTTTTCATGACTGGTAATATGACGTTACGTTGCACGTCGTAGAAGGGTGTTACGACGTGCAATGCGCGCCGTAAAAACCCTTTTTTGTTGTAGTGTTTGTCATGTAGATGACCATTTCATTAGCGATTAAGGAAATTTAAGGTAATTCTATTCTACACATTATTACTTTCTATGCATACATTTAATGAATTAATGTTTTTTAATTTTTTTTATAATTTTACTACTAAACAAAATGATCAATATAGATATCGATACATACATCAATCCTTAAAACTAATTTTTTTTACTACATATCTTTTATATAAAAATTCTCATATAACAATTTTTTTTCTCAAAAATACACACATCAGGTTACTCTTTAATTTTTTTTTTCTTACTTCCTCCATTGATCGTTGTTCACTTTACTATTCCTTCATTGTTTCTCATAGATTTGATTGATATTGCTCAAATTTTCACTCCTTATCCATTGCTTATAACATTGTTCCATTACACCCTATTGTTATTATTTGATTTGTATGATGGAAGATTAACAAAACAATGAATGTTTAGATGTAAAAAAAAAAATGATTGTTAATAAAAAATTAGACAACGAATAGGTGAGTTTTTTTGGTTCGAAAGTATTTTTCATTGTCGCAATTTTCATTCTAAAAATCAAATTTGAAAATATTGCACTATATGGAAATTAACTTTTGAAACATTTCATATATTCGAAAACCAACTTAAAAAATAGTTATATGTCGAAAATTTATATTTGGTTCGGAAGTACAGAACTAAAAACTATTGTTTGATTTAGTTGTTGATTGTCGAATTTGTTTAATGTATATGGATAAGTATCAATTATTTTCATCTCGTTGTCAGTCAATATGGAACGAAAAATGAAAATAGTATAACAATAACTTATAGGCCTCGTTTGGCAAAGGCTATTTAGCCAATTAGCCAAAAAGTTACTAAGTTAGCCAAAAGCCAAACCCATACCAAAAAGTCAAAGATTCTCTTTCTCTCTACTTTTTGCATATCTTTTCGTAATTAGCCAAAAAGTCATCCAAACATACAAGTTTTTTTACCTACCTTTTTAGCCAAATAGCCAAAAAGTTACTAAATTAGCCTGTTCCAAACGAGGCTCAATTTGTTTTGAGTTTTGAAAAATAATTTTTGAAATTCAATCCGTATTATTTTGTTTGTTGAACATTTTTAATATTCTAATTATTATTATTATTTTTTAGATTCACTTAATTTAGATACACTTAAAAAGCATACAAAAAAATAAAAATCCAGTAGATATATATATATTTTTGTATTTATTATTTTAAAAAAAAATTGGCAAATAATTTACTTTTAAAATGTATCTAAATTAAGTGATTCTAAAAAGTAAAAGGTTGATTAAATATGTAAAAAGTTTACTAAAAAAAAATTTTATTTAACAAAAATATTTTTGAAAACTTAAAAACTAATAGAGTATTAGTTTTAAAGAATAATAGTAAAATAATACAAAAATTATTGATTTTTTTTTTTTTTTTTTTTTTTTTTTTTGTGGGATACCTAAGTAAATATGGTCGGAAAATACTGGAGTGTGCCGAAAAAATGTCGTGTGTGTAGGGCACGGTTTAGGTTTTGACTTAGGCTTAACGGGTGTGGTGGGAGTTTATTTTATGTAGTGTGTGTACATAATGTGTTGGAATTTTTGTACCCAAATATATGCTATGGGCATGTTTGAACATTTGGTGGTAGAATGAACGTAAAACAAATAAATTCATTAAGCGTGTGTACTAAGAAAGATTTCACAGAGTGTAAATTGTGTGTGGAAAATAGAATTACTTGAAAATTTATGGGCAATTACACTGATAACCCTGTGTGTTATTTTTATAAGCGAAACTATTTTCATCTTAACTAGCAATCACCTTAATTAAAATTTTGTACATTTTTGTCTTCAATTTTTCATGTTTTGGTTATGATAATTGTGCATTTTTTATCGATATTCACAATCTTGTCACTGCTAGATTGTCGTCATCGCAAATCGCCATTGCTGTAGTGAGAGGATGAGAGAAAGTGAGAATTAGAACTCTAACTGTCAACAGAGTAGTGAAAACATATGGAGAAATTATTTTTCGATGTACCTAAAAAAAATATGGGGAAATTAGTGGTACCCATCCTCGGTTGAGATTTAAAGAACATCACTTACCTTACCCGACGGACAAAAGAAAAAAAGGGAAACCCAAGTATTTGGGTTGGGTCACCATGGAGTACCACACTGGTAGGTTATCCATTGCCATCCCTACTCTGTTGACGATTGGAGTTTCTATTTCTCACTCTTTCTCATCACCTCACTACAGCAACGACGATTTTGCAATGACGACAATCTAGTGGTGACAAGATTGTGATCGTTCATCAAAATCGCGCAATTAATCAATAACCAAAAACATGGAAATTGAGACAAAAATGTACAAAATTTCAATTAAAGTGATCACTAGTTAAGATGAAAATTGAAAAATTCAATCTAAGTTACCATCAAATCAGAAAGAAATTCAATAAAACAATTGCAGGAGATATTGAAATAAGAAAAATTCATTCTATAAATGAAATAAAAAAAATTAAAAAAGAAAAGAAGAAAGAAGATGGAAATGAGAGCAATAACTCACCTTCAGATTATCGAAGATCATAAAGAGAGGAGAAAGAGATACATAAAATTAAAAAAAAATTAAAAAAGAGAAGGAATTTTTTTTGTAGGAATAGAATTTTTCTAAATAAATTTAAAAATTCTAGATATACATAAAATTTGAAAAGAATAATGTGACAATGTTAGTTAATGTGTATTTGATTTTGTTGTTGAGCCAAATAAAATAAAATAAGATTGAATGTATATTTAGCTTTGGTTGTGAATCTTAAAAAAAAAAAATGTATATTTAGCTTTGGTTAAGATTGAATTTTTTCGAAATAAAATTTAAAAATTCTAGATATACAATAAAATTTGACAAGAATAATGTGACAATGTTAATTAATGTGTATTTGATTTTGTTGTTGAGCCAAATAAAATAAAATAAAATCGAATGTATATTTAGCTTGATGTGATCTAAATATTTTTAATCACACTAAAAAGGTGATTAAAAATGACTCATTTTAATCACACTCCTAAATATCATACTTTAATAAAATTTAAAAGGTGTGATAAAATAACATACATTACACAAAAAATGTGCACCAAGGATCCTCTAGAGTGAAATTTTCCTAAAGTTTCCTAGAGTATTGCATTATGTGGTTGAGATTTACTGGCAAGTCACATCAGAAAAATTGATGTGACTTGCCAGTAAATCTCAACCACACAATGTAGCACTCTATGAAACTTTAGGGAAAAATCACTCTAGAGGATCCTTGCTCAAAAATGTGATCTTTATCTATTTTTATAGTAGTGTAAGGCAAGTTTCGTTGCTGTTACCGGTTAAGAATATCAAGATGATTAAGAGAGAGTCGAAGATATACTCCTTTATTGTATACAATTAAGACGATAATACCTTCAAAGTTTCCAGCATTCAACTGGTTTCAAATTTCCTTGATATGTTACACCACTTCATGGACAAATGCAGGTTAGTTTCCTACAAGCAAAGCCTATTCCTTAATATTCTTTTAAAGGCTTTCTTCTATTCTCAAGGAAACCAACTTTCTGTTTGGTTTCGTTTTCCAAATCTATTTTCTAAAAAACACTAAAAACTAATTTGGGGAAAAATAATGAAAAATTCAAAAACACTAGAATGTCCATCACTGATGTTAGTTATGAGATAAGAATAATAACAATAGAACTTATTGCAGAATACTATGATCTCCTAAGCTACTATACCAACATATCATGACCAACATGCAGTTGCACAATGTTCAAAAATTTCTCTCTGCGAATGAACTATCAATGGAGGAACTCTAGATTGTCTTTTTAACGTCAGGTACTACTACTATATTGGTATTCCACTTTAGTATTTTTCTTCAATAAATATCCCAGAAAGTAATAAGAAAATACATAATTAAGAGGTGATTTTGTAATCTCATAGAAAGTAAGTGGATGTAAACTATTACCTTTGCTATCTTTCCTCACTTAGCATGTTTCTGTCGTATTTCTCTCTTTCACCCTCTTTCTTCCCTATCTAGGAACTTTCTTTGTCTCTCTAAATGGATTAAAGGCTCTTAATGACCATTACTAACATATTTGGTTCAACCTCCATTTTAATTTTTTTCTACCAAAATTTGAGTGTTTAATGAAGTCCAAATTAGCTTCTATAATATTATTTATTGGCTTCTCAAAAAGGAATTTCCTTTTCTATTTCCCATTCCATGATTTTATCTATTACTTTTGGCAAGAATGAGAATGTTTGGTTAAAAGTCAGTCTAAGAAGGTGGTGCACCTGTACAGTGAGTTTCGTCTTCTTACTAGTGTGTAGCTCTTCTTGAAGGTCACATTTTTGTAGTTTCTCAAATGGACAAGTATATGTTAGTAATGGTTCATGTTATTTAGATGCAGCTCAATGTGACCTTGGATACATGAAGTATCCTTGCCAATTCATTTGGGAAATCACAAGTTATGCTATATGTATTTTTTTATCGTAAAATATTACAGCTTTTATAACTACTATAACTTGCAATGTGATCTGATGATGGTAATGTATAGGAATCAATTCCTGTTACTCAACTTGTAAGGGAAACTGCTACTGTTATGCAGGAGTTCACATAGTCAGGGTAAGTGTTTTCTATCAGTTTACATCTTATATTGTTTATCTTTTTGGCTAGAAATCTTGACTATTGATAACTTGAAATCCTCAGAATTGTAACATGTGAGGTGCATTTGCCTAATAGATGGTTCAGATGATGGTTCAGATGCTGAGTATGAGCCCAATAATAGTAGTGATGATGATGATGGTGATGACTAGTTTTGAAGACTTTTTGGATATGATACAGTTTGGATGGTTTTTAACTTTTTGGATAATTTAGAATTTAAGGATAGTTCTTTTGGATGGTTTTGAACGTACGGTTAATTTTTAAATGTTTGGAATGTATTGACAATTTTTGAATGTTCATAATTTATGGATGTAGTTTATTTTTTATGTTTGAAATAATATTTTAGTAGCTGATTGATATTTTGTGAAACTTGTTTGTAATGTTTGTTAGATTATACAAAATAAGTCAAAATAGAACTTGCTGAATTAAGAAAAAAAAAAAATCATATTCTACGGCAAGCAAATTAGGCCATTAGATGACATATTCCACAGCATTCTACGAACGCCGTGGTATGTTCTACTTATCTACGGTAGGCTGAGCAAGTCATTGTATTACATATTCTACGGCACGCAATCAACGTTGTTATTTTTCTCACGAATTAACGGCGTGCAAAAGTAGTTGTAGAAAAAGTAAAAACGACGTGCAAGATCTGCTGTTAAATAGTTTTTAACAACGTACTATGACATGCCGTTGAAAGTAAATAACTTTTCATGACTGGTCATAATATGACGTTACGTTGCACGTCGTAGAAGGGTGTTTACGACGTGCAATGCGCGCCGTAAAAACCCTTTTTTGTTGTAGTGTTTGTCAATGTCAGAGATGACCATTTCATTAGCGATTAAGGAAAATTTAAGGTAATTCTATTTCTACACATCATTACTTTCTATGCATACATTTAATGAATTAATTTTTTTTTAATTTTTTTTTATAATTTTACTACTAAACAAAATGATCAATATAGATATCGATACATACATCAATCCTTAAAACTAATTTTTTTTACTACATATCTTTTATATAAAAATTCTCAATATACAATTTTTTTTCTCAAAAAATACACACATCAGGCTTACTCTTTAATTTTTTTTTTCTTACTTCCTCCATTGATCGTTGTTCACTTTACTATTCCTTCATTGTTTCTCATAGATTTGATTGATATTGCTCAAATTTTCACTCCTTATCCATTGCTTATAACATTGTTCCATTATACCCCATTGTTATTATTGATTTGTATGATGGAGGATTTACAAAACAATGAATGTTTAGATGTAAAAAAAAAATTTAAAAAAAAATTAAAAAAAAGAAGAAAAAAGATTGTTAATAAAAAAATTAGGCAATGAATGAATAGGTGAGTTTTTTGGTTCGGAAGTTTTTTTTTTTTTTTTTCATTGTCGCAATTATCATTCTAAAAATCAGTTTCGAAAATGTTGCACCTATACAAAAATTAACTTTTGAAAGCATTTCATATATTCCAAAACAAAACTTAAAAATAGTTATATGTCGAAAATTTATATTTGGTTCGAAAGTGTAGAATCAAAAACTATTGTTTGATTCAGTTGTTGATTGTCGAATTTGTTTAATGTATTTGGATAACCAGTACCAAATTATTTCCATCTCATTGCTAGTCAATATGGAACGAATAATGAAAATAGTATAACAATAACTTACACTCAATTGGTTTTGAGTTTTGAAAAATAATTTTTGAAAATTTCAATCCATATTCTTTTGTTTTAGTAAACATTTTTATTATCCTAATTTTATTTTTTTTTTGATTCACTTAATTTAGATACACTTAAAAAGCATACAAAAATATAAAAATTCAATACATATTTTTTATGTATTTATTATTTTTTTAAAGATTTTTGGAAGATAATTTACTCTTTAAATGTATCTAAATTAATTGATTCTAAAAAGTAAATGGTTGATTAAATATGTAAAAAGTTTACTAAAAACAAAAAAATAATAATAAAATTTTAAAATTAACGAAAATATTTTTGAAAACTTAAAACTAAACAGAGTATTAGTTTTTGAATAATAATAGCAAAATAACACAAAAAATTATTGATTTAAATTTTTTTTTTGCATACCTTAGTAAATATGGTCTGAAAATTGCTAGTGGTGTGGTGGGAGTTTATATTTTATGTGATGTGTGTACATAATGTGTTGGAATTTTTGTAAACATTATGTTCTGGGCATATTTGGAACATTTTGTGTGTAGGATGAGTAAAACAAAAGATAAACCAATTCATTAAGTGCGTGCACTGAGAAAAATGTTCACAGAGTGTAAATAGTGTGTGGAAATAGAATTACTCATGACAATTGGAACAAATTACACTCTAGTCCCTGTACTGTAGTCCTCATGTCATTTTGATCCCCATGATTTTAATTGTCTCAATTTTGACCTTACATTTTGAACTTCGTCTCAAATTGGCCAATTCATTCTAACTGTTAGTGTTTATGTATGAAAAATGTGCACATGAGCAATATATGTCATGTTTTTAGAGGCAAAATTGCAAATTTGATCAATCCAACTCACTAATCATTTTTTATCAAAAACCCTAACATCATATTCAATTGGATTAAATTGACACAAAATCTAAAATTAAAAGTTAAAATTAAATTAATTAAAACTGTAGAAATCAAAACAACACAACCAACAATATGTATGAGCTACCAATGTAATTTAGCCTAACAACTAATACAAGTAAAAAAAAACTTTTGTTTGGACATTCAAGTCTCTATGCAATGCTTATGAGCCTTATGCCATAAAAACTGGCCACCAACTCTTTGTCGCTATTTACAGGGGGCTCAAGTCACTTTTTTTTTTAATTTATTTATCGTCAAAGAAATTATTTAAGATAAATTACAAATGTACTCTGGAGATTCACTTAAACTACGGATTGCCACCTATAATTTTGGAAATTATATTACACCCTTCAAGTTTTTAATCACATAACAAATGGTCCCCTTTATTAATAAATCATTAAGTCAAATAGTATTTTTAATGATATTAGAATTCAGAAATATATTTTAATTAACAATTTATGTAATTTTATTAAGAGAGTAATCGTGAATTTTATTTTTTCTGTTAAGTCTGTTAAATAAAATTTTTTGATAAGTGAGTATTCGTACTTTTCAAAATCACAGCGGATAATCTGTATATTAAACAAATCTCAGGAGATATATTTATTGAAAAATCTAGAAATCCTCTAGATATTGATTTGTGATTATGTATCAATTTTAACTAATAAATATCAATCCCAATCAAACAATCAAGAGAAATCGACACAACAATTTTAACGCGGAAAAACTATAATTGAAGCGCCTCCAATTGTAATAAAAAAATCACGGGCAAAAGCCACAAAACAATCCACTAAGAAGATATAAAGGATTTACACAACTGTACTCTCAATTACCTAGCAAATCCATACTCGAATCGAACCGACCCCTATGTGTCTCTTCTAGTCCTGTCTTCACATCGAAATTGTTTTGCCCAACGTTGAATCCACAACGCAGATGTCGAATCACGACAATGAACCACTCTGAAATCCACCAAAGCTTCAGGCTCAAGTTCCACGGAATCTACAAAAGAACAACTCTCTCTTTTGTGTAGAATAAACAAACAATCCTTTGATGTATACTTCTTAAACTATGAGTTGAATACTCAATCAAACATCAAAGAAAATTAGCAAAATAGCTCCAGATATAAACTCTAATATCCAAGAAGAAGATCTGGAAGCATAACCCTAAAAACAGATGAAACCACATATTTATAGAAAACTGATCCGCGATCTCCGCTTGAGCGCATGAATGGCCGCTCGAGCGGACCTCACTCAAGCGCAGAAAAGTTCACTCGAGTGTAAAATCCCAATTTCCAGTACTTTTGCAGACAGGTCAAACTTTTAAGACCAAACGTTCTCTGCTAGAGCACACAAACAGCCACTCGAGCAGACAAGCAACTTCGAGCGCATTTTTTCATTTTGCATCGGGGGTGCAGCTCGATCCCCGACATAGTCAGCGAAATGGCAAACATGAAAGAATTAACATCACAAACTTCTCTGCAAAGGTACAATTCGAGTTGGATTCGCATCTAAAACTCACAGCTTCATTGAAATAAATTATCGAAAAAAATTATAATTTAAAGGGGTTTTATCAAATGGTATTGCCAAGAATAAAAACCTAACATTTATAATTTATTCAAATATTTACTAAATGGAGTATAAAAATTACATCAAGATAATAAAAAAATAGGATAGAAATAACATTGTTATATAGGATATCCCAACTAGATTGAGGTGCTTTTCCTTCCACTTGTTGTTTTATTGCATCATGTTGCTCTCAGTCGATTGGGTAGGAGGAACTCCTGTTGTGTCAACATGTTTTGGGGATTAAGAAAAAAAAACCCCTTACCTCACCTACTACAAGCTTCTCGAATCAACACAAACAAGAATGAATCTAGGGATGCGGATAGAGACGATCATATCCCTAAAAATTTGAAAAATATTATATATTATACTAAAAAATTAAAAATTAAAAATATTTACACCTTCAAACATAATTTCACATTTCCATAATGATGATCCTAGATCCATCTCTAAACACGAAAATTGGTTCGACATCCCACTTGCCTTGTTTCAATTCCCCGCCATGCGGCCCTCACTGCCACCGTTTATGTGTTGTAGAAAAAGTAGGCCGCTTCTCAAAAAGAAAAAAGCAGGGCAAAAAATAAATAAACAAAAAATTCTAGTCATTGGCGATAGCAACCACATGAAAAATATATATATATATATATATTGGGGTCAACTTAAAACAAAAGGTAAGTTATGTACAGGAAATGGTAGGTAAGAATTATTGTTGACAATGAAAGAAGCTTTCATAATATAATTAATTGACAATAATTATAGTATTCTCTTAGATTTTTAAACAGGTGAAGTATCAGAAGTATCAATAAATTTCAAAGCATAATTTTGTGAACTGTTTAGTTTTTTATTTTTTTATTTTATGAATCTAAAGGTCTCATTAAAGTAAAAATTATATCAAAGGGTAATCACTTTCATTTAATTTTTTAGGAATAAAAGTGGATTTCTCAAAATGTAAAATTATATATTTGGGCAATTTGCACTATGAAAGTTTTGGATCTTCCTTCATTTTAGAATAAATCCCACATTATGAAAATTTGAACAAAGTTAAAGGGCCTAGTGTTGAAGTTAGACTTTGAAAAGGCATACGATTCTATTAATTGGAATTTTCTAATTGCTACTATGGAAGGGTTTGGCTTCCATTCAAAATGGATTCATTAGATCAAAGAATGCATAACCTCAGTCTC